GCACAGGGGCCAATCTCCCCCCGTTTAGCCAATGCAAACTTCTCCCCCCGCTACGCTGCACAACACACCCATTTGCACCGCTCTCCACACCCTTCAACCACGTCCTCCCTGCCCCTCACCTCTGGCAACCGCTCCTCCTCTCCTCACGTTCGCTCTCCCCGCCCCTTGTCATCCCAACCGCCCTCTCCCCACCCGCCCGCCCCCCACCTCCCCTCTCCTCACCCCCCGTCTCCCCAGTCCTCCGCTCTCCCCCCTCTTTCCCCCCGCGCCACACATGAGGCGCCTCTGAAATCCCCCCGCGCCATATCCAAACCCGCCCGTTTCCCCCACACGTCTGTTCACTCCTCTCACACATCCTCCTCCCCCTCTCACATGTCCTCCTCCCCCTCTCACATGTCCTCCTCCCCCTCTCACATGTCCTCCTCCCCCTCTCACATGTCCTCCTCCTCTCAACCATCTGAGCCTCCTCAAACCCCCCCTTCTGCCCACATAGCCCTTCGCTCCCACTCCTCTTCTGCACTGCTTTCGCCCTCTCCCCGCAAACCCCTGTCCTCATCCCTCTCTCCCTCCCTCCCCTCCTCCCCGTTCCCCTCCTCCTCCTCGCTCCCCGTTACCCCTGCTTCTCTCTCTTGCTCTTCCCAACCCCCTTCTCCCTCAGCTTTTGAAGCTTCTCAAAAGTCGCTCCCTGCTCCCGCTGCTTCTCTCTCCCGCTCCTCTCAGTCTCTCTCTAAATCCCCTCTTCTCGCTACCACGCCGTCTCCCAAGCACAACTTAAAGCCCAGTTCAGGAACCGCTATTGCTGGTGTGAATGGTGAGAAGCAGGGCATGCAACAGCAGGTTAAACAGCAGGTGAACCCGCAGCAAGTGCCAATCCTGCAGCGTCAACAGCGTTTACAAGAGCAAAGCCAGCAGCAGCAGCAGCAGCAGCAGCAGCAGCAGCAGCAGCAGCAGCAGCAGCAGCAGCAGCGTTTCAACCCCAGGGGGCGTCGTCACTTGTCTCTGTCTCTGGACCTTAGAGAAACGATGTGGGCAACCGACCTGGAAGGAGCTGCTGGCGTCGACCGCACCGGACCGCACTCAACCGGACCCCACTCAACCTCACCACACTTGACCTCTCCGCACCGGTCCGCACAGCATCTGCCAACCCCGCAGCATCAACAGTACCGTCAGCAGCACCAACAGCAATGGCAGCAGCAACGACAGCAGCATCAGGTGCAGCAGCAGCAACAGAAACTGCAGCAGGGGCAACAGCAGCAGGGGAAGCAGCAACAGAGGCAGCAGCAGCAGCAGCAGCAGCGGCAGGAGCAGCAGCAGCAGCAGCAGCAGGGGCAGCAGCAGCAGCAGCAGCAGGGGCAGCAGCCGCAGCAGCAGCAGAGGGAGAGGGTGCGTCGGCGCATGTCCCTGTCTCTTGACCTCAGGGAAACAGTGTGGGCGTCTCAGGCTGATGAGAGTCCCGTGGGAACAGTGGGAACCCGCACTGCTGTCGGCACCCGCACTACTGCTCCTGCTGCTGCTGTTAACCCAAACGACACAGGGCAGAACGCTGCACCTGTCATATCTGCTACCCGTGCTGCCCCTGTCACCAGTTCCACACCTGCTACCCGTGCCACCCCCAGCACGTCTGCACCTGCTACCCCTGCCTCACCCTGGACGAGCGTGTCTCCTCACAAGGCTGCACGCACTATTAAGGGTATCTCTCCCTCTACCAGTACTCCTGCCCCTGCCACTGCTGTCACTGCCGCTGCTGGTGTCACTGTTGCTTCTAGTTCCACTGTTGGTGCAGCGGCTGCTGCTGCTCCCGTTGCCTCTGCCGGTGTAGCTGCTGCTGCTTCTGCAGCTGCTGCCGGTTCTTATCAGTCTTCTCCTCTTCCTCCTGTTCGCATGCCCGGCTATTCCTCCCCGTCTCCCAACCCCTCACTCTCCTCCTTCCATCGCGCTGCTTTGCACCACACTGCACCGCATGCTGCCCCTCACTCCTCCCCGCACAATTCCCCTCATGCTCACTCCTCTTCTCCTCACACCCTCTCCTCTTCCCCTCACTCTACCTCATCCTCTGCCCACTCTTCCCCCAACTCCTCCTCTCCCTCACTCCACCGATCCCCGTTTCGCCCCCCACACTACCCCTCGCCTCTCCAACGCTCCTTCTCTTCCACCCCCTCAGCACCTATACCCCTCCAACCGAGCAGCACCGCTCTGGAATCCCCTGGAACCATCACCAGGAGCCGCACAACCAACACTCGCAGCAGACCTCTCGCTTCAGGCAACAGCAACATCAGCAGAGGTAACAGCACCAGTAGCATCAGCATCAGCAGCACCAGCATCACCAGCACCAACAGAAGCGGTAACAACAGAAGCAGCAACAGCCCCACTAGCTGTAACACGGCAGCAGGGACTCTGTTTTCTGCTGGTGGTGCTGCCAGGATGGGAGGAGGGGCAGGAAGAGCAAACTTGCGAGCCCTTGAGACGTCTCCAAAACAGTCTGTGTCCGCTACAGGTGCATCTAGGACTATGCCTTTTAGAGCTGGGAGGGAATGTGGTGCTGGGGAATCTAGGGTTGGAGCTGTGGGTGGGAGAGAGGCGTGCGCGTCACGTGCTTTTGGTGGAATGGAGGGTGGAGCAGTAGTGGGAGCAGCAAGGAGCGGGGGAGCAGGGGGGGAAGTAGCATCAGGGCGCGGAGGGGCAGCAGGGAGGGGGAGAGCAGAAGGGAGGGCGCGTGTGGGTGGGCACAGGAAGAGCCCGTCAATGGGTGCACTGCCTTTGATGGAGTCTGGCGGTTATGGCTCTTGTTTCTGTAATTTGGCTGGTGCTGCTGCTGCTGGTGCTGCTGCTGATGCTGCTGCTGCTGCTGCTGCTGTTGCTGCTGATGTGCCCGGTGCTGCTGGTCCGGGTAGGATGGTGAAGAGTAAGAGCATAGGCGGCAGCAGCAGGAGCAGGGGGTTGGTAGGGATGGTGCAGACCAGTAACAGCAGTAACAATGCAAGCACCAGGTATGGCATCAGTGGCAGTGTTGCCAGCAGCAGCAGCATCGCCAGTAGCTTTGACAGCAGTCCCAACAGCAGCGCTAAGGAGCGAGCGGCCAGTGATGGGAATTTTCTCGTTACTGTCAACGGAAATATCAGCAGCAGCATCGCCAGTAGCTTTGGCAGCAGTCCCACCAGCAGCGCTAAGGAACGAGCTGTCGGTGATGGGAATTTCGAGGCGCCTCAACAGTTCGGCAGCAGCAGCCCCAGCGGCAGTGCTAAGGAACGAGCTGCGGGTGATGGGATTTGCAGCCCAAGGGTGGGCAGCATCAGACGGTGCGCCACTGCTGATGGCCAGCCTTTGGCGAATCCAGGAAAAGCTTATAATGGATCACCGAGTGTATGGCAACCTAAGCAGAGTGTAGAGCAAGGGAATGGGATGGGAGAGGGAGGAGTGTTGGGAGGGAGAGGGCTGGAAGGGAGAGGAGGGGGGAGGGGAGGGGCAAGGGGAGGGGGAGGAGATAAAGGGAACGGGTTAGGGACTGGCATGTCCCGAAAACGTGGCATGCCGTATGGAGTTAGCATGACGCATGCACATGGGCTATCCCAGAGCCATCTGCCCTTGGGTACCCAAACATATCGTGGAATACATCCGTCCTGAGCAGCTAGCCGATTACACTAAACCATAATTTGCTTTCCATGCTATATTTGGATGGCTGCAATAAAAAATGGTGCAATCAATTCCAGACTCGTGAGTAGATTGTTTAGCTAGATAAGCGATGCCTTTAGCCATGTAGTGAAGCCTACCTAGTCGGCAATGTTCCATACGCGTGGACTTGAATTGAAGTTGATATTTCTGTTGCCGTGCACCCCCCAACTTGAAGCCCAACATTAAATGGAAAATAAATTCTGCACTGTACAAGCTCCCACTTGGCTGCGTGTCATATCTTTCACCTCAGCAGTTGCTCCTGGAGCACTGTTCTTTGGAATCTGGATGCTTCTTCGGTTTTGTCGTTTGAATGGAGGGACAGCCAACACCCTGACGTGAGGTATCGCCGTACAAATCCACGAGGGAACTGTGATTTCGGACAACAGTCCGCCTCACTGTGGAGAATTCGGGCGTTTGAAAGCCCCTGACCGCGGAGAAGGGGCTACTGACCGTGTGTATTGTATTTACGAAGCGAGGTGGACAAAACGCTTGTGAAGGAGTATTGCGGGACTAGGAAAGCAATGCCGTATACGGGAGGGGGTGAAAATACCGTCACTTTGGGAGCCTCTGTTTTGTTTGTTCAGCGCGCAGTGTTGTACGGTCCAGTAGGGTTTGCGCCTAGACCCCAGGGTGTCTTTTTCAACCATATTTCTTGGGCTTGCGGCTGGGGCCAGGTGGGGTGGAACGGGACGGAACCCAGCAACACCCCACTATGGCCCAGAAAAACAGGGGAGGCCAGGTTGGTGGACCTTCGTGACACCGTAGCAGTCGCTTGTGGTGACGCAGCGTGACGCCGTAGCGTCCAGCGTGGCTGCCACGGCAGTGGCTGGGTGACCACGTCCGCCACTACCCCATCCCTTTCAACGAATAAAGGGAGAGATCACCTCAGCAAAAGATTCACTCACGAGAAAAAACTGTTCGTGGAGCTCCCGGAACGCCTTATCCACGCGATTGGAGGGCTCCTCTCTCATTCGTCAGATCCAATTTGCTGGAGATATTGCGGCAGCAATGCGTGAAAAAGGGCGATCCGCTTGAACTTTCTTCCTGGTCATCAGTCACGACGACTCACAGCTGGTGTGATCAGATGGCAAGGGTAGTAACACCAACACCCTCCCTCACATCACATCCCCACCCAAACATAGCTTCGAACAGCAAAAAGGCTCTATCGTCTTGTATATAATATTGACTCTTTCGCCTGCTATTTCACTCACACCTAATCGGGTTTGAGACATCCTCCTGTCTGATTTTAGTCGATGGATTTAGTTGTCGAAAAGGTCGTGCCTCCTAACCCGTGTCCCTCCCACAAAGAGGACTTCGGCACATACGTCCTTATGGTACGTTCGTCTCTATCAGATATAGGTCCTGAAGCAGTTTATGATGGCATCTCGATTTCCAGCCCTGACCAGCTGTCGTCTCTGAACTTTTCTTACAGATTCAGCACTTGATTGAGCGGTGTCTCGTTTTAGAATTGAGTCAAGCCGAATGCATTGTGAGTCTCGCCAGAAGTGCGAGGATTAAGCCCGCCATAACCCTTGCTGGTACGTACTTTCCAACAATCGTTTTTCGAGTTTGCGTATCGATGCGTACAATGGCTCACGATCTGGTCATATGTGCTTCTCTTGTACTTTGCAGTGTGGAATGCTCTCGAGAAAGAAAATCCTGTTTTTTTTCGAGAGTACAACAAGAAAAGCTTTTCTCCGGCAGCGAGAATGGCGAGCCGTCGGAGGAGAGTCGCCGCGGAAGAGGAGTACTCGGGCAAAATACTGCAATGTCTGGAGCTGTGGCGAATCTCTTGATTCGGTATAACGACCACGAAAGAAGCTGAAGGAGTGACTGACGCTTCGACCACATGACAGGAGCTAACGTAACAGCCGACACACATAGGTTGCGACTGTTGAACTTCAAACAGCAAGTGCTTCGCCGAACTCCGCCGTTGTACATACCATTCTTGGACGTCGGCGTAGCACGACCTCCTCAGCCAAAATTGAGGTGCTTTAGGGTGTAGACTAAGGTTTTGTTGGTTTGTCTGTGTGTTGTGCATAGGAAGTGTAGTGTGTGTTGTTTGCGTTCTAGACGTTTTGTGTGCCTAGTAGGTGTGCCCATTAGCCACGCTTGTCCATCATCATTTTTTGGTGTGCAGAATATTCATCATTTTCCGGGTTGCGTGCATAAAGTTGAGGTTGGGTTGGGTTCACATATACCATACAATCAAGCTGCCTGCAAATTTCAACAATACAAGATTATTGGTTTCTTGAACATGTACAAACCAACTGCACACAGGGATTGACACTCCCCATTTTCAACTACCATATTCCCTGGAGATCTTTAATAATAGTCGCCCAGCTTGCGGTGGTGAGAAGCGGTGCGACCCTCGGGCTTGGATACCTTCCCTGCAGTGACCTCAGCATACGTGATCCAGTGGTCGTTGGTCTCCATGCGGCTCACCACAGTGCACTCCAGGAAAGCCAGCGATCCTGCCAGCACAGGCGACCCGTTGCTGGCCGGGTCCCACTCAACGCCCTCAAAGCGGTCAGCTGGAGGAGGGGAAAGGGAGACATGGAAAGGGAGTGGAGAAAAGTAAAGTGGTTGTACCGGTAGGTCTCCATGCGGCTCACCACAGTGCACTCCAGGAACGCCAGCGATCCAGCCAGCACAGGTGATCCGTTGCTGGCCGGGTCCCAGTCAACGCCCTCAAAGCGGTCAGCTGGAGGAGGGGAAAGGGAGACATGGAAAGGAAGTAGAGAAAAGTAAAGTGGTTGTACCGGTAGGTCTCCATGCGGCTCACCACAGTGCACTCCAGGAACGCCAGCAATCCAGCCAGCACAGGTGATCCGTTGCTGGCCGGGTCCCAGTCAACGCCCTCAAAGCGGTCAGCTGGAGGAGGGGAAAGGGAGACATGGAAAGGGAGTAGAGGGGATCAGTTTCTAGCTGGGTCCCAGTCAACGCCCTCGAAGCGGTCAGCTGGAAGATCAGATAGGGATGACATGGAAAGAGAGTAGAGAAGAGAAATGGCAGGGGCAGATGGACAAGGACAAGCATGGTGAGCGTCCAGTGTTTACACTGATAACAATGACTTCCAAAGTGTGTATGACACTGACGACTCACACAAGAAACGCGCGTGATCACGGGGAAAGAGAGGGGGAAGGGTAGAGAAGGAAGAGAAGGTTTTTGGTGAAGAGCAGTGAGACTCACCGCCAGGGGGGAAGCGCTTGAGGAAGTGCTTCATGAGAGGAGCAAAGTTGCCCTCCTCGAGACAGTTGAGCACAAAAGAGTCTCCCACCTACGTGCAGATGGAAGGGGTAGAGAATGGTGCAAATGGGTGTTGAGACAGAATGGTGAAGCGGGAGGCGTTGAAGTAGGGATTGGCCAAGCATTCATTATACTTCATTGAGATTGAGGGTACATACGATGCAACTGGCATTTCCTGCTGCCTGCTTAGACAACCGCAGCCCAACCCATCCCTTCCCTGCCCAGTCCATCCCAGCCCAGCCCAGCCCAGCTCGACCCAGCCCAGTTCAGCCCAGCCCAGTCCAGCCCTCTCAACTGAGCCCCATGCAGCACACACCTGCATGAGCGACTCAATGGCTCTGTCCTTGGCCACAGCAACAGTGATACCCAGTGGCTTGAAGCTAGCCTGTGAACGGGAGAGAGAGAGGGCAGGGCGGAGTGGGGGCATTGGAGGTGGATAGGTGAGGTTGAGTGGGTGCACATGAAGACACACGCACACACAGCAGAGACACAGCCAACTCACCACACATGCACATCCCCCTTCCCCCTCACCCATTCCGCCAATTTCCTCTCTTCCCCCCACCCACACACACCCACCCACCCATTCACACCCACTCGTGCAAGAATGCACAAACAAAGCACGCACCTGAGACACCCAGGAGGCGATCATGGCACCCTTGGACGCGCCTTAGATAGCCGTCACCACGTACAGCCCTCCTGACACACACCCCCACACGTGTAACCCCACAGGCACACACATATCCACGCACTTACACACAGCACACCACGCACCTGCGACACCCAGGAGGCGGATCATGGCACCCTTGCACGCCCCCTTAAGGGCCGTCACCACGTACAGCCCCCCTGACACACACACACTCGCCCTCCCGCACGCACTCTCACACGCACTCCCACACATGCATGCAACCCCACATGTACACACATATCCACGCAGAGACACACAGCACGCACCTGAGACACCCAGGAGGCGATCATAGCACCCTTGGACGCGCCTTTGATGGCAGTCACCACGTACAGCCCGCCTGACACGCGGGCAATGGCCTTGGCCACCGCCAGAGGCATGCTGCGCCACCCACACAATCTCACCCTCACACGCCCCGTGATAGCAAACACACAGCACGCACCTGAGACACCCAGGAGGCGATCATAGCACCCTTGGACGCGCCTTTGATAGCCGTCACCACGTACAGCCCTCCTGACACGCGAGCAATGGCCTTGGCCACCGCCAGGGGCACTCAGCTGCCCCTCACACATGCATACACGAGGCACACGCGCATGCAGATGCACAACCACAAGCACGCACCTGGGACACCCAGGAGGCGATCATAGCACCCTTGGACGCCCCCTTGATAGCCGTCACCACGTACAGCCCTCCTGACACGCGCGCAATGGCCTTGGCCACCGCCAGGGGCATGCTGCGCCACCCACATGCAAACACGCTACACATATCCAAGCACACGCACATGCACGTGCACAAGAACGCACCTGGGACACCCAGGAGGCGATCATGGCACCCTTGGACGCGCCTTTGATAGCCGTCACCACGTACAGCCCGCCTGACACGCGTGCAATGGCCTTGGCCACTGCCAGAGGCATGCTGCGCCTCGTCTCATCCCTCACTGCCTTCTGCGTCAGCTGCTGGCCCAAGTCAGTGCCCGCCTCCTCAAACAGCTGGTAGCTGTGAACGGGGGGAGCCAAGGGGAATGAGAGGAAGGAAGGGGGTAGGGGAGGGAGGGACACGGACTTAAGAGACCACCAGGAGCATGCTGCGCCTCGTCTCATCCCTCACCGCCTTCTGCGTCAGCTGCTGCCCCAGGTCCGTGCCCGCCTACTCAAACAACTGGTAGCTGCGGTTGGCAGGAAAGAGAAAGAGAGAGAGCGATATGGAAAGGGGATGGAAGGGTTCGGTTGAGGAGGGGCCCGCCTCCTCAACCCATGAACACTAATACAGGCTCGCACTGCACTACAATCCTTCGCTCTCACCCACTCGGCTTCCAAGGGAGGCTAGTCTATGTGGAGGCTTTCACTCTCTCTCTCTCTCTCGCACTCCAAAGGCATCTTGACTCACCAGTCAGAGACCTTTGAAGCAGCTCAAAGGTCACTACAGCCCATCACTTTCTGCAGTCAATCACTACACAACACCTGCACTACTGTCCCTCGCCCTCACTCACACAGCTTCGGTGGGGGGCTCCTTGATGGGGAGGGGTTCAAGGGCATCTTGACTCCGCGGTCGTTGAACTTGTACATGAGCGTGTCGATCGGCTCATCGTCACACCACAGCCCCTCATAACACATCAACCCCTCACCACACAACCGTCCCTCACCACACAACAGTTGCTCACCACTACAAACCCCTCATATCACTCACACAGCTTCGGTGGGGGGCTCCTTGATGCGGAGGGGTTCAAGGGGCATCTTGACTCCGCGGTCGTTGAACTTGTACATGAGCGTGTCGATCGGCTCGTCGTCCCCTCCGTACGACTCACACAGCAGCACGGACTGGTGGAGGGGAGAACAAGGGGACACGGAGGCAGAGGTTCACACGGATCAGCGGCTGTATGGGCGAGCAGGGCAAGGGCTCGAGAGGCGTCTTGACTCCGCGGTCGTTGAACTTGTACATGAGCGTGTCGATCGGCTCATCGTCCCCTCCGTATGACTCACACAGCAGCACGGACTGCGTGGGGACGACAAGGGGACAAGGGGATTAGCAGGGCAAAATGAGCGAAAGAATTTACCTCACACAAACCTCACATTTCTCATGTGTTCTGGGAAATTTTGCACGCGCACTACTCTCACTCACCTCTACACGAGCCTTTATTTCAAACCCCCGCCCGCCTGCTCCCTCCCTCCCTCACACGGACCTTTGTATCAATGCGGGTGTTGGTACAAGCAGATTGAGCAATGGAGGACAAGGTCGGCTAGCATGCAGTTCTGACCCTATACATCCCTTTCCTTTCCCTAGTACCTACTTTCACTCCAAGGTGTGGAGGAGGTCCCCCAGCTGCAGGGCCCAAGGGTCCGCTGGAGCCTGCAGGTGAGCCGCCTCAATCCCTCTCTCTCCTCTCCCCCTCATACCCACCCGTCTGCTCTCTCCTCTTTCTGCCCCAGCCATCCGCCCACCCACCCACCCCCCTGCTTACCTGCTTGGTCTTAATGCCAGCAACCATGGGAGCAACAGCAGCAGCAGCAGCAGCAGCGGCCGGTGGTGGGGGGCATCATGAGCACCACAGCGGCGTTGCGGCCCCAGCCATCCCCCCGCCCACCCATCACCATGCACCCACCTGCTTTGTCTTTATCCCGGCCACCAGGGGGGCAACAGCAGCAGCAGCAGGGCCAGTGGTGGGGGGCATCATGAGCACCACAGCGGCGTTGCGGCCAATGCACTCCCCCCACTTCCACACCCCCCATTTCACACCTACCTGTTTGGTCTTGATCCCGGCCACCAAGGGAGCAATAGCGGCAGCAGCAGGGCCGGTGGTGGGGGGCATCATGAGCACCACAGCAGCATTGCGGCCGATGCACTCCCCCCACTTTCACCGCCCCCGCTTCACACGTACCTGTTTGGTCTTGATGCCAGCAACGAGTGGGGCGATGGCAGCAGCAGCAGGGCCGGTGGTTGGGGGCATCATGAGCACCACAGCAGCGTTGCGGCCGATGCACTCCACGAGCTCCTGAGTGTCGGCGGCCTTGAGGTCCATCATCTCCACGCCCGCCCCCGCCTTGGTGATGCCGCGCGCGATGCACTGGGAGAGGCGGTCGCTGTACCCGTAGTCGCTCACATACAGCACCGCTATGGAGGACTGCAGAGAGGGGAGGGGGAGGGGAAGAGGGGTGCAAAAGGCGGAATGGAAGGGGGGGAGTGGGATGGTGAGGGCGAAGGGGGTTAATTGCTTGAGGCACGGGCTTGCGTGGCCTGGCGTGGCCTGGCGTGGCTTGGCGTGGGCTTGCAGTGCAGCAGGGGGGAGGCGAGCTCCTGAGTGTCGGCGGCCTTGAGGTCCATCATCTCCACGCCCGCCCCCGCCTTGGTGATGCCGCGTGCGATACATTGGGAGAGGCGATCGCTGTACCCGTAGTCACTCACGTACAGCACCGTTATGGACGACTGAGAAGGGAGGGGGGGTGAGTGTGGGGAGAGAAGGGGTTGGGGGGGGGGGTGGGGGGAGGGGGTGAAGGGAAGGGAGCTGCAGATGCACTGCGAGAGGCGGTCGCTGTGCCCGTAGTCGCTCACGTACAGCACTGCTATGGACGACTGGGGGGGAAGGGGGGGGTTGAGTTGGGGGGGGAGAGGGGGTGAAGGGAGTTGCAGAGAGGGGAAACAGGTCATGCACTGCGACAGCCGGTCGCTGTAGTTGTAATCGCTCACGTACAGCACCGCTATGGACGACTGGGGGGGGGTTGGGGGGGAGAGACCGGGTTGCAGGGGGGACGAGAGGGGGTGAAGGGAGTTGCAGAGAGGGGAAACAAGTGATGCACTGCGAGAGGCGATCGCTGTACCCGTAGTCGCTCACGTGCAGCACCGCTATGGACGACTGGAAGGGGGAAAGGGAGGAGGGTTGGATGCCCAGGGATGGGTGTCAAGAGGGAAGGGACATGGCAAGTGGAAGGGAGAAAAGCGGGGGCAGGAGGGAGGGCGGGGAGAAAGGGTGGGGGGAGAGGGAGGGAGGAGGGGAAGGAGGGACAAGACCGCTCACGCACACTGGTTTCGTACCTTCTGCTTCTCGATGGCGGCCTTGCTCCACTGCTCGTACTTGAGCGTGAGCTCGGGCACGTTGTAGCGCAGCAGAGGACCGTGCCCCACTGCTATTTCCGAGAACTCCCACCCCGCAGTGGCGACCTGCCGCGATTGGAAAAGGATGAGGATGGGGATAAGGATTAACAAGGGTCCATAGAAAAGGAGGGGAAGGGAAAGGGTAAGAAAGTGGAGAGAGGGGTAAGGAAGAAAATAGTAAAGGGAAGGGGACGGGGAAGAAGATGGGGAAGGGGAAGGAGTAGGGAAAGCGGATGCGCATATGGGGCAGTTGGGACACGTTGTAAGGCTGTGCTATACTGGAAACCTAGTGCCTTAATGAGTGGGGAACGGGGAAAGTGGAGAGGGGGGTAAGGAAGAAAATAGTAAAGGGGAAGGGCACGGGGAAGAAGATGGGGAAGGGGAAGGAGTAGGGAAAGCGGATGCGCATATGGGGCAGTTGGGACACGTTGTAAGGCTGTGCTATACTGGAAACCTAGTGCCTTAATGAGTGGGGAATGGGGAAAGGAGGGTGGGAGAGAGGAGGGAGAGAGGCAGGGAAGTATGAAATCTTCAGAGCCAAGGAAAAAAAGCAACCGACGACGATGCAGAGCGGTGCGGAGCGGTGGTGGCACGGCACGCACCTTGCGCAGGGCGGTGAGGACGGATCGCGAGTTGGGCTTCATGAGGCAGTCGTAATAGAAGCGGTAGTGCGGCTCCAACTCGCTTAAATCCTCGTCGTACACCTGGCCATGGCGCGCATGGGCACACGCAGGGGGAGGGGGGTTGGGGGAGGGGGGAACGCGGCACATTGAAGCACTGCGGCTCCTGCTCGCTCAGAGCCTCATTGCGTCCATGCAGGCACGGGCGGACTAAGGGAAGGAAGGCGGGGGTATGGGGCGTGAGAGGAAGGTCGAGCAGGAGAGAAGGACGGGGAATTGTAGAAGCAGAAGTCTGACTGCTCCTCGCTCTGACCCTGGTCCCCTCTTCTCCCCACCTTCCCCCATGCTCCCCGCTTGATATTCCCCGTTTCCCTTTTTCCCCGCGGTTACCCTTCCCCTGACCCTGGGAATCCCCGCACACCTTCTCGGAGCAGTAGTGGCTGCCGAACGCGTCGCACGTGAACATGACGCCCATGCCTTTATCGAACGTGAACATGGTATCCGGCCAGTGCAGGTTCGGCGCCATAATAAAATCCAGCTCGTGCCCGCCTCCCTCCTTCCCCTCTTCTTCCGAACTTCCCCTCTTCCCAACTTCTCCGCTTCCCAGCTTTCCCCAGCTTCCCCGCTTGACCGTTACCCACCTCCCCACCAGTGCCCTCCACTCGTCCTAGGAATCTCCACGCACCTTCTCGGAGCAGTAGTGGCTGCCGAACGCGTCGCACGTGAACATAACGCCTGTGCCTTTATCGAACGTGAACATGGTGTCCGGCCAGTGCAGGTTCGGCGCCATGATAAAATCCAGCTCGTGCCCTCTTCCCCTCTTCCCACCTTCCCCGCTTTCCGCTCCTCCCTTTCCCACACCCTCACCCACCTTGCCCCATCTTCCCCACCATCCACGCTTGTCAACTTTCCCATTTTCCCTACCGCCGCCCCTCCCACGGAATCTCCACGCACCTTCTCGGAGCAGTAGTGGCTGCCGAACGCGTCGCACGTGAACATGACGCCCGTGCCTTTATCGAACGTGAACATGGTATCAGGCCAGTGCAGGTTCGGCGCCATGATAAAATCCAGCTCGTGCCCGCCGCCCAGGTCCAGCGTCTTTCCCGGCTGCGCCACGATGCTCTTAAACGGCTTTAAGACTAGGTTCTGCAAGAACTGGATGCAAACTTTCGACCCGACGACGGTGATGTTGGGGTTCAGTTCGATTAGGTCTCGGATCAGACCGCTGTGGTCCGGTTCTGTGTGGTTCGCGATGACGTAATCGATGTCTTTAATGTCGATCTCGGCTTTAAGCGCGGCGAGGTAGAGCTCGCGGAACTTCTCGTGCGACGCGTCGATTAAGGCGACCTTGTCGGCGCCGCGGATGATGTAGGAGTTGTAGGTGGTGCCCTTGAGAAGACCGAACTCGCTGCACGGAGGGAGAAGGCAAGTGATGGGAGTAGAGTGAAGTGAAAGTGCGGATTAAGAACGAAGTGAAAAGCGGTTATCGTGAAAAGGCCGAACTCGCTGCATGGGGAAAGGGGGGGATGGAGGGGTGGAGGAAGAGAAGGCAAAAAAGAGGAGAGAGGTGCATGGAAGTCAACTTGCTTTGGGTATGTCGTACATGAGTCAGCGAACATGTTCGGATTCTTGCCGTGCGCAGATATGTTGCAGATATGTTCGGATATGTCATACATGTCAACGGACGCAGTCGTACGAACAAACACTAGGAGACGTACATGTCGAAACGGTCGCGGTCCCAGTCGAGAGAGCGAATGGTGGTCGTATCCGCAGCGATGGTTGTCGTCTGGGTCTGGAATAGGGACAAGGTGGAATTCGCGGGTGTCGAACAGAGAGATTCGGTCGCACATGCATGAAGATTACAAGGAGCGGTAAAGGCGTTAGGACTGCAAGAACCAGTAAATACGTGACTACAAAGAACAGTACCTATGTGAGGACTACAAGGAACAGTATATAAGTGAGGACTGCAAGGACAACTGTATAAATTTAAATTAGTTATCTCTAGCCCTTACCTGCAGTCTCTTTCCCTGATCCCACTTCACGATTTTCGACATCTTCGTCGGAGCTTCCGTCGCCACTGCTCGGACCTCCAGCGACCGCGCGCGAACATTCTGCGAAGCTGCTTGCACGCATGACGTAGCGGAAAGCTGCGTTCCCAAAAGCTCGGATCTAAGCTTCTTAGGCACGGCAGAGCGAACCGAAACGCTGCTGCCCCTGCTGCTACTGGGCCCTGCCGATAGTTGCTTCACTGTAGGGACTTGCACTGGAGCCGCAACGGCAGCTGTTCCCACGAATGCCGCCATAGCGATTCTCAGATGGGAAAGCTGCGCTAGCGTGTGCACGAAGCGCACAGAACCTAGAAGTCGACGGCGACGGCGATATCGTGGACACGCTGATTCACGACTCCAGAAGATGTAGCTTATGAATGGAGCTGAGATTGTATTCCTACGTAGGGACACCATCCGAAGTAGGGACACCTGGTTGTTTTTTAATTTTTTTTATTTGCTTTCGAATGGAAGTCTACGTCAGATGTTACCCCGTAGTTTGAAAGGCTGGAAAACATCTCATGCCCAATCTTGCGTCTGAAGTAGCTAGTCTCGATGTGTCGGGTGACGAGCGGAGTATGCGAGTCAGATGAACTCACTCAGCCGCACTTACTCAACTGACTGACACTTGAGACGAGCGGTGTACTGACATTGCTAAGAAATTCGTGTGTTTATTTTATAATTGCAACTTTCAGAGCATCGTTTGTAGGTCACGTTGAACTAGGAGAAATAGCCATGCAACACGGAAATTGTCCCAACTTCGCATGGTGTCCCTGCGTTGGAATACAATCTGAGTTTATTGCTTCTGAAATGAAAAGTTCTCAAGGGAGGGTGTAAGCGGGAAAGCAGAAGCGGGAAAGCGCAAGCGGAAGCGGAAGGGGGAGAGGCAGCTTTGGGATTGCCTTGCCAAGAAATCAAGGGACAGGGGAATCCGGTAGGGGGAGAGTCGTGGAAATGAACGGTGGGCAGAAATGCAGGAGATACACATTGGGACTTCCCAGGTTCTGAAAATGAACGGTTGAAAACGATTATCACTGCGATCTCTGTGCGGTCTGAGCTGGTGCCTGCTGGATAGCAAGCTCATGCACGTGTCATGCTGCCACCTCGGATGGCAGACTGACCCCATAGACATAATTTTGGCGGGCCAACATCATAGACATGCAAATTAGTGTGGTAACCCTATCCAATGGTATGCAAAACCGTCTTACCTCTGTTTGCAAGTTATTGACATGCTGCCCTGAAAGCGCGTTCGTTTTTAATTCAAATTTGATCTTTACCGCGCTTGCCTTCGCGCTAAGACGTGATTTCTTCGGGCCAAGAAAAAAATAAAACCCGATCGGAAAGGGATGCGTCAGGGAGGCATCAACCCTAAAACTATGTCCTTTCCCGTGTTTAGGGTTGATCCCTCCCAGAAATGCGTCCAGGTCCCTAGGGGTTTTATTGTTTTTCTGCCCTGCCCCTACATTTCCCGGTAGCAATATATTGGTCCAAATTAATGTTATCGAAATGGACCCCGTAGCCTTTCATTCCAGTGGATTTTTCGTCACATTTAGCGGAAAATAGTAGCCGGCAGGAATATTTGTTAGGCGCCGAACAAGACGCGGTAAGAACCACGACGATACGAAATCGAAAACGCAACTGATTCAATCACATATTTTCTTCTTTTTCTGTGCTGCGTCAGCTGTTACACAGTGTTTTGAGTGGCGCTACCAGACAATTTTGCGCAGCAGAACTGGGGTATCGACGGTTTTGCATACCATCGAATAGGGTTACCAGACTAATTTGCATGTCTATGATGTTGGCCCTAATTTTGGCGGCAGGGCGAAACCACGTCACTGCAACAGCTGGAGGCTGCTGGTGTGACAATACCAGTGGGCGAATCCTAAACCGAACTGGAACGAATCATTCGCCTACGAGCCAAAGCTGAGCTCGCTGCAAGCGATATTGGGAGGTCCGAACCGCTGCCGCAATACCGTGGATCGATATCAATGTACTTCATTAGAAGGAACATGAACAGCTATATTCCACTAATCAACTAACATTCCCTATGAATCTCTCTGATGGCCTTACACCTGTCTTCCTAATGCTTGAGAAAGAAGTTCAGCCTTTTCAGCTTGAAGCACCTCAACCTTGGCCTTGAGTGCTTGGATGTAAGTCAGAGTCTCACATAGGAGGGCTTCAGTAGTCACCCGTGTGTTGCACTGGGGTATGGCCCTCTTCAGCTGCTCTAGCTTCAGGCTGCACGTTCACCGAAACAAGCACCACCAATAAAAGACAGATTTGAGACAAGGAACCACGAAAACTACAGCAAGCAGGCTGGATTTTTGCATGCAACAGACTAGGCAAGAGTAAAGTCCCACAACACGTACCTGATTCCATTTCGTCTCTTTCTCTCCGCAACCGTCCGTGGCCGGGAAGACTTCACTCCCGCTTCTTGCGCGTCCACACCCTCTACCTGCTCCCCGCCCGACCCTCCCGCGCTTCCAGTCCCGCTCAGCCCGCCCGCGCGTCCCTCCACAGGGGAACCCGCGCCGAACGGGACGCGACGATCCCCCGCGCCGTCGTCCGGGGAAGGAGTGGCGGGTAGCACTGCGACACCAGCATGGGGGGACTGGTGGGCGCGGGGCGCGGTTGCGCGCGCGGTATTGCCGGGAAGAGCCGTCGCCAACCAATGCGGGGAGGCGGAAGGAGCGCCACCAGGGGGAAACGCGAAGAGGGGCCGCGGCGCGGCGGAGGGCGGAGGCGGGGCCGCGGTGTCGAGATTGCTATTCTCTCCCGAGCTCTCGGGAGTTTGCGCGCGAGGAAACTGCGCGGGATAAAACGAAGGCAAATGACGAGATCAGGCGACGCTGGATGGGGCGACGCGAACGAAAGGAAAAATTCCGAACCGAAAAAGAGAGCGTTGATCGATAAAATATGACGTCGCAAGAGGTTCCAAACAGAACAAACGCTTGAAAACATATGAAAGACGAAGGACTCGCCCAACGTGAACAAAACGGCGACTCTAAAGGCATCAAACGCGAACCATTAGTAGATCACGTGCCGCGTGATTTATTGCAATATTAAAACCGCACCTCATCTGCTCTCTTCCGCTTCGCTGGCTTCTTAGCGCCGTCTTCGACCGCCGCCGCCCCGACGCCGCCGAGCGACAAGCCCACGCTGAGGCGCAGATCGGGCTCGGCGGCGCGCGCTGAAGCTCCGCCGCGCGGGAGTTCCGCGTCGTTCCCCTGAGATGCGGGCGGCACGGAAGGGAAGAGCTGTAGCGATACACCGACAGGCTGGGGGTCTTCAATCCCCGCAAGTTGCGGCGGCGCATGGGACTGCTGCTGCAGCTGAAGCTGTCGCAAGAGCTGTTGTTGCTGCTGCTGTAATTGCTGTTGTTGCATGTGCTGGATAAGCGCGGATGTCAACGCGTGCTGCTGCATGGTCGAAAGAGATCCGTTGTGATGACTTGCGGCGACGACGGACGCGGGATTAACAGGCTGCTGTGCGTCGTTCATCGCGAAAAACGACGTTACTAGTGGTCTTTCAGCCACCTCGCTTATGACCGAGTTGGTTGTCAAAAAAGCTTTCTCACTGGCCTGCTTTTGCCCGAGGAGATTTACGGTCGCTGGAGTTGTCACCCAAAATAACCCAACGTTCCGAAACCAAAATGGAATTCGACTGTTGTGCTTCGAGAACAAAATGTCTCTCGACGGAGCATGTGGGGAGGGGGGAAGTGTGTTGGGTTGGGATGGGTGGGAGGTGGTGATGGTGATGAGTGTGGCAAATGGCAGGCAGACACGCACACAGTGATGACAAAAGGGGCACGCACAGGGCTCAAGTGAACTGACTTTGTCGTTAGTCACTTGATGGAGGGACCATTCAGCATGTGGGACTTGAGGAGCTCACCCATTGGCTCACACCCAACGCAACGGAAACCACGGCAAGAAACGTCCGTCCGTCGTTTTGCTCCGTGGGTTCGATTCGAGCCGGGGTGGACCTCCCACTGGCATGCCACAGGATGTTCGTGTGTTTGTGGTGGGCTTGTTGGGTGGACTGGGCTCGGCACGGCAGACCCACCCAGCTACGCTTCGCTTTGGCAGGGCGGTTCCGGAGAGGCCTATGAGGGTGCCTCGCCTCCCCTGGTTCTGTTAACGAAGCTGTGACAAACCAGGGCTTGATTTGAATGTTGGGTAATACCGTATCCGTGCATGGAAAGAAGCGAAGTCCGAGCCTGGGGAAAGCAGTGTATGGGTGTTCGCCAGCGAAGTTCGGCGCTTTGGGCAGTTGCCTTGGCTAATCTTGAATATTTAGTTCTGCAATGCAACATACATACAAAGTCCTCATGAGTTTTACACAAATCATGGGTGAAACTTCATTTGCGTACTGTACAGGCCGGATACTGTACCCCAAAAACCACCACGTGTAGTGATCGGCTGATTTCAAACAGAATTTGAGATGTACAGTGTTCGGTTCTTTTTTTTTTTTTCCCCAATATCACTCGCCCTGATGTCTTGCTATGGGACCATGCCTTCACCAACAGCTGCTGCCCAGCCATCCCCTCCAAACCTTCCCCGTTCGACATGTCTCCCAACCAACCAAGCTCACAACACTACACCCACCCAGAAGAACCAGTCTTTCTCGCCCAGCCCTTACAGCATGCATGCAGAAGTGACGTGAACAGAACGCTTCGCTGTCATGGAACGATGCTTGCTTGATGAAAGGACAACAATGAAGTGGAACTGTGCTGCAGTACAACGAGGAATTTTTTCACACACCTGACCCCTGAGGTGTACACACAACAGAAACACCTCCAAATGGCCGCCATCCCCCAGCTGCTTCTACCCAATGTTTAGGTAAGCCACCAACCATTGCAGTGAATCGGGTGGAACTTTTTGTGTTCTACGACACCATTTCCTTTGCAGAGTGGATCCCTCCCCACTGACTTTATTCGGGACAATCCTCCAAGATTCATTGTGAAGTTTTGTTCGGTGCCTTCTCAGAGAAGGAAAGTCCCACACCGCTCAACCCCAAGCAGCATTGCATGCCATGCCACCATCTTGAAGTCCCAGATGGCTCGTTTACAGCTGCACCTTCCTGCCAGACTCGGGGGGTTCGGCATTCGATCTGCGGCTGACCTTAGTCCTCTGTCGTATGCATGTGGCTGGTGCCAAGCAGTGAGCGATGTGGCTCGGTTGGGGGTGGCAGGTGAGGAGCGGATGTTTGAGGAGTTTTTCCGCACGCCCGAGGCTACGACCTTGTTGGACCCCTGGTTT